GGCTGGCCTGAGGGCCCCCCCCCCCCCCCCCGCCGAGTGCACAAATTTTTGTGTGCACCGGGCCTAGTTATATATAATAAAAGAGTAATATGCAAATTGACCAAATAGTGGAATGACTGATTGCTATGATGTGCACTGACCATCAGTGGAAAGACGCTCAACACAGGAAGCCAGGGGAGCACCGCTCAGCCAGAAACCGGGCTGATGGCTGGCAAGCACAGTGGCGGTGGCAGGAACCTCTCCCGCCTCCATGGCAGCGCCAAGGTTGTCCGACTGCCGACCATCAGTGGGACATCCCTCAAGGGCTCCTGGACTGTGAAAGGGCGCAGGCAGGGCTGACAGACACCCCCTCCCTCCAGTGCACGAATGTTATGCACTGGGCCTCTAGTATATAATAATAAGCCTACTATTAGCATTAAAAATGTAGTAATCATGGTGACTTGATCCTTGACAACAAGTTGCACCCTACTTAAAATGGCCAACTTTCAGAGTTGATGGAGGGCTTATAGAAATGGGAGGTAGAATTGTCAGCCAAAAATAATCTTATATTGAGACTAGAGGTCCAGTGCACGAATTCTTGCACCATTGGGGTTCCTTAGGCTGGCCTGTGTGATCGGGCCGAAACTGGCTCTATGACATCCCCCAAGGGGTCCCGGATTGCAAGAGGTTGCAGGCCAGGCCGAGGGACCCCACCAGTGCACGATTGGGGCTGGGGAGGGAAGCAGGAGGTTGGCCAGCGGGGAGGGACTGTGGGAAGGCTCCAGGATGTGTCCGGCCCATCTTGCTCAGTCCCAATCGGCCGGATCCCAGCAGCAAGCTAACCTACTGGTTGGAGTGTCTGCCCCCAGTGGTCGGTGCACATCATAGAGACTGGTCGACCAGTCGACTTATGCCCCTTGGTGATCAGTGCATGTCATAGCGAGTGGTTGAGCAGCCTAAGCATATCATTAGCATATTACACTTTGATTGGTTGAACAGCTGACAAGTCTACTGGACACTTAGCATATTAGGCTTTTATCATATAAGCTAACTCTGTCAGGTGTTAACCAGACAAAAGTGGACCTGGTTAGCCTGGACCATACTGTTGCTCAAGATCTCTTAGGGGAGCCCAGCCAGCGTGGTTCAGTGGTTGAACATCAACCTATGGACCAGGAAGTCACTGTTTGATTCCCGGTCAAGGCACATGCCCAGGTTGCAGGCTCGATCCCTAGTGTGGGATGTGCAGGAGGCAGTTGATCAATGATTCTCTCTCAATATTGATGTTTCTATCTCTCGCTCTCCCTTCCTCTCTGAAATCAATAAAAATATTTTTAAAAAAAATAAGAAATCTTAGGGGAAAGCCTTATTTTTGAGACTGCTTCAAAGGAGTGAAGATGTCATAAAGAGGTAGTGAGCATTTAATAGTAGCCTTTGTTCCATGGTGTTCATATAATCTTATATATTTGGAATATTGGAAATTTATGAAAAATGTGCATTATACAGTAAGTAGAATCTAATCCAATAAAAGAAACATGCAAATTGACCATAACTTTGCTACACCCTAAGCCACAGCCACCAGCCAATCAGAGTGACTATATGCAAATTAACCCAACCAAGATGGTGGCCGGCAGCCATGGAGCTGGAGCAAGCAGAAGGCTTGGTTGCCCGAGCAATGGAGGAAGCCAAGCTTCCTGCCTGCCCTGCCGCCTGTGGCTTCCGCTAAAGGCAACAAAGTTTCAATTAAGGAAGATAAATAAATCCCAGATACCTGCTTCCAGCCAGCCTCCACTGGGAGCTTGGGTGGCTGGGGGCCATGGCCAGCCTGCAAACACCCCTCAGCCTGTCACCCAGGCTGGCCAGGCATCCCAGCGGGACCCCAACCCTGATCCGGGACACCCTTCAGGGCAAACCAGCCGGCCCCCACCCATGCACGAGGCCTCTATCATCTACACTAATAAAAGAGAAACATGGTAATTAGCGTACGACCGCTACCCTTTTCATTGGCTAATCAGTGAGTATATGCAAATTAACTGTCAGCCAAGATGGCGGCTGGCAGCCAGGCAGCTGGAAGCGAACATGAGGCTTGCTTGCTCCAGTGACTGGCAGACTCCAACGCTCCCCGCCTGCCTGCCTTGGCCTCTGAGCTGGCAGTTTTAAACTTTGTAACAAATATAGAAGCTAAACAAAACCCCAGAAACCAGCTTTCAGCGGCTGGTGGGTCAGAGCTGGAGTTATACATT